AACTTAGAGGCCTCAAATGAAGTTTTGTTCAACTAGAAAGTTGCTCGAAACAGGGTTTTAACCTTGACCATGCATCAAGGAGGCTTTGAAATGGCTCATATGAGAAGTTGGTTTGAAAATTTTTGAAAAGGAAGAAATTAAAGTGATTAAAAGGCAAAAAAATGGAATTCTTTGTTTTATGGTCAAACAAGGTCATGTTGCATATCATTTTGATCAGGAATGGCATTCTAAGAATGATGACATTACCACATTTTGGATTTGAGGCCAATTTCACATGGTTCCCTTTGATAACTTAAGATTGAAGCAACATTTGAATCACACATCCTTGGATCAAAAACAAGGCAATTGCACATCCCATTCACTTCAAAATATCATAAGAGGAGAAATTCAACTGAAATTGAGAGTGGTAGCAAGGCAAAACACGACTGTGGTGAAGGAGATTTTCAAGGGATATGAGAAATTCAAAATCTCATTCAGTTGGTTACAGAAGTTTCTAGAGGTTTCCAACACATTCTATATAACATTTGCAACTAATTCAGATCATTTTTTGGGAGGAATTGAGCAAGGAACCAAAGCAAGCCATTGAAAATTCTCAAGCTGCATCAGAAATCGTGATTGGAGATTAAGGGGATTTCAAAGCAAATTGATCATTGGAAAAGCTTTAGGAGTGTTTCTTAAATGAATCTGGAGAAGATTGAGGGCTGAATCGAGCAAAACCATCATTTGTTCATCCATTTTTACCAGGTTTGCATTCTTCAAATTTTAGCATAATTGGTAGTGAATTGCTTAGGTTTTGATGTATGGTTAGGTTATGCTAGGTTGGATTTAGGCATAAGAATTGAGCAATTCGTGACATTTTAAGAGTGATGCCATTTTTTGTTGAAGCTCATATCTCTTGATCCTTAAGGTTGTAATCTTGTTTAGATAGCAAGATTTGATCAGTGAAGCATGTAGATGAGTTTAGGAGCTTTAATTTTAGGTTTTGAGTCAATCAAGAGTTGGATGAATTTCTGAACTTTGGATCGGATTTGGAGTTAGGGATAGAATCAATGAATTTGAAGGTTATATTCGTGATCAGGAGAGAATTTCACGTGAGATAGGGTATTTAGTTGGCCTGATTGATGCACTTCTGGATATGCCACGCCGGAGAAGACGGTGGCGCAAAGCTCAGGCCACCGTCTGAGTTTTCCCTCCCACATTCAAAATCATTTGGGGACGATGAGCCAGGATCGTTAGATCTAGGTTTGACCTTGACTCAGACTAGCATCCAAGGGCCACGTTTTGTTTGAAATCCTGAAGAGATTGATTTTTATCAAAACTCTGCGTTTCATTAAACGCTATTGGGTGGGCTTAAGGGATCCTTGCTCTTCACACCCCATGTTTGGCCCAAGTTGAAATATGAACGAGAAAACATTGCTATTCATCACAAGGTTTTTCCATTTTCATTTCATTTTCTGATTATATTTCAATTTCGTTTTGGGCTTAGTCAGATATGCTAACCACACCCCCCTTTGGGCCCAGTCTGGAGAAATAACATGGTTTAATTGCTATTTGCAACGCGCTTTTATTAATTTTCATTGTTTTTCTTTTATTTTTACATTTTTGCATATAGTTTAGGATTAAATTCATAACAAATAGAAAAATTAAGCAATTTAGGTGAGATTTTTTTTCCCTGACTCTTTAGAGAGTGTAGATTTTAATAGGATTAAAAAATAATTAATTAATGCATTTAGGATTTTAATTGCATTTTTTGAAGTTTAGTTCATGTTATTTTGAATATGGTTGGTATGCTTTCTTGCTGATTTTGGTATGACTAATTGGTGTTGATTTTTGAAGTGATTCTTTTTGGTATAGTTAGCTTAGATATGCATGTACCTATAGTAATTTTCTCATATTTTTGTGAGAGAATTGTATGTTATTTTGGATAATGAACATTAGGTGTTGTAGTTTTAGGGTTTTAAGATAGTACCCTTAGGTTTAGGGCATAGTTCTAGCACTAAATGAATGGTTAACCCCCTGATTTTTATATGGAGTGATTCTTAAGAGGTTTAGGAGCCCTTAGAAATTTTTATAGGATTTTACAATCATTTTTGGTATTTTAATTAGATTTAGTTTTAAGACTAACTTCTAGGTGTTTCTGATGAACTAATTTGACTAGTTTATTTCAATAGTTCCCCTTAGATTAGGGTGGTGTTGCTTTTGTGCTTGGATGGAGATGAAGACCAATTGAAGATGCTTTGGAGAGCTTGAAGAAGCTTGGACATGAAGATTTTCTCAACTTGTGGGTGCTTGTCAGGAGTTGCTAGTTGAAGCTGTTTACTAGTTGAAGTTGGCTAGGGTTTGAGCTGGTTGCTTGTTGAAGTCTGAAGCTTGTTGAAGCTTGGTGCTTGTTGAAGATTGAAGTTTGTTGAAACTTGAGAGGATAGGAGCATTCATGAAGATGAAGGTTGTTGCTGTCAACTTTTTGCTGTTTAAACAACTTGTTGCTGTCAGAGCTGTTGCTTGTGCTGTTTGCTGTAGGAGTTAGGTGCTGCTGCTTGGGCTGCCTCCTCTGCTTTGGTTTTTTTGTTTCTCTGTATTGTTTGTTGGCTTGTGCAGCTTTCCCCCTGAAGGAAAATTGCGATCTAAACGCAGCGGAAAACAAAAATTTTCCTTTAGTGATCCTTACGAATGAGCATGGTCAGTGATAGAATCGTTACCTCTTTGTGGCGATTCAGATCTTTGATGCAGCGATCACAAGCGTTGATGAAGTGCAACGCCTCTACTCAGTCCACACGAACAGCTTCCGGTCACAGTGCTAGCTGCTTACGAACGGAATTATTTGAGTGAGAAAAGAGAATCAAAAACGAAAATGCATCAAGTGAAAGCTTCATCACAAGGGTTCCTTTTATAGACTCTCTTGTGGGCTGCGGGCTAAAACCCAATTCACATGATCCATAATAATATTATATATTATTATAATAACTATTATTATAATAAATATATTTATTTTATTATTATTTTATAACCATTATAAAATAACAATAATTATTATTATATTATCCGAATTTCTATTTTTCACTTAAGTGCACCGTACCTTACGGTGTTCCTTTTTGATTTCTCTATCTCTCATCAAACTGTCCTTATGTGTGTGACCCTGTAGGATTTCGTAACGTTGGTAATTATATTAAATTATATATTTAACATAATAAACAGTAAGCGGTATCTAGCAACACATCACTGCTACCCAAGTCACGAAAATGTCATGTGATCTGACAAAACCTTTTTCGTGATAATATATGTTTGTACAATTACCCTTTTGCCCCTATGTCTATATTGAACACAAGGCATACACTGTGTCATCCTTGTCCAGTTCAATATTGGGCCCTTAGACATTTCTCCTGTTATGCAGGATTGGCAAATTCCATCTAGGACACTCATGTCCCTCAGCATGCTTCGTGGAGTGCCCATCAACTGTCTTTATGATCATCCAGTTACGGATAATGTTTGATCATCAATAAAGCACCCGACTCTACATCTAGGGTCCATAGTGGTTTCAGGTCGAAGGGCGGTAATACACCATTATCACCATGAGAATAACTTATGACACTTTGCATAACATACTATGTAGTATTCTCATAGCGGGTCAATCCGGTATAAATATTACTCCTAATATTTATACCTATGTCAAGACTTGATAACTCTTTATCCATGATCCATGAGATGTGATCATCAGTCTATCTTCATAATAGTCTCAATGCTTTTAATGTTATCCCACTTTGCAATAAAGCTTGACTACGGATATTTTAAGAATAATGTCTTTATGTTTAATGGGATCTCATGATTAAGTCACACTTAACATTTCATTAAACAGACTAACTATTCTAGGGACTTTATTATTCTGAAAGACAAACATAATAAAGAAATACCTTTTATTATTAAACGAATAATCCGATACAAGTACCAAAAAGTATTGGCCTCTAGGGCTTACACCAACACCCCCTAGGTTTGAAGTGAATGTTGATTCATTTTTCCTGTTGTTTTCCCAGGTTCGAGGTTGAGTGGGACTCCCTTGCCTCGCTTGTATTGCTGCATTGCATGCATTTTACTGTATTTGCTTGCTTTCTTTTCTGTTTATCCCCTAGGGTCTCTGATTTCCTCTGTGCAGGAGGGAATTATGACAGACATTAGGATTCTCATCCATGCATGACAACATTAGGTTAGTTTTTATTCCCTTTTCAACCCTAGGCTTTTTAGAGCTTCTTTCTCTTCTTACCTCAGAACAACTCAAAAATACAGTAATAAGGTTAATCGATGTCGTACGTTACGAGCCTTAAGCTGTTTGAGAAAGGGTTGTTGCAGAGCTTCTTTCCAGTAGTCTGGCTGCTTAGTGTGGTACCCTTTGGGTGACACGCGACGTAGTCACTCTCAAATCATAGTCTCTAGTGCGTCAGAGATTGCAAACCAACTAAAAAACACTTCTTTCGTAAAAGATTCAAAACAAACATCAAAGTGTCATTTTTGTCCGCTTGGACTTTTAATCAAGAAAAACCCTTTTTGAAGGTAATAAAAACAGTCAGACAAGCTTGTGTCTTCCGTAGCCCGAACTACGTTTGCTCTGATCTTTCATGCCGTATGAAAGTACGTAGGCATAGGATGTCGTATCCTAGCGAGCAACCTTCCCCTCCTTTCCCGTAGGTAGGCGAACTACGTTGACTCTGATTTCTCGTTCCAGACGGGAATACGTAGGCATAAAGTGCGATACTTTGCCGAGTCACTTTCTTTTCTTTTTAACCCAGACCTTTAGAGTAGATAGAATAACAATCCGTACTAGAAAACAAGTGTGTATTCCGTCGAGTACGGCGGACGTGAGGGGTGCTAATACCTTCCCCTTGCGTAATCGACTCCCGAATCCAGGATTTGGTTGCAACGACCATTCCTTTCCCGTTTTGCATTAGGATTACTCTGAGCGTTTCCTTTCCCTTTTGTGGGATAAATAACGCACGGTGGCGACTCTTCTATCATAGCCGGCGCCGATTTTTGCAGTAGCGACAGTAGTGAGTCAAATTACTAATTGTAATTTTTTCGCACCCAATAAACTTAATAGCCTGCATAAGAATATTATAAAGTAATTAAATGCTTAAATACTCCAAAGTAGTTAAATTAATTTAGACAAACTCAAGTACTAGTTATCATATGAATAGACTTACAAAAGGCCTTTTACTTTCATTATCAGGATACTCTTTCCACCATGGAGCACCTTGGCCATTAATTTGTCCTCCACCATTGACAGTAAGACCATAGATGTCTTCAAATCGAATCCATGCTAGCTCTTTATCTTCTGCCCATTTCCAATCCTCCATGTTTTTTGGGGCAATGATAGTTCCTCCAAGCTATCGACCAAAAAGTACACATTCAGCATTTTATATATCAAACATATTAAGGTTAGAATTGAAAAATATTTAAACTAAAGAAGGAGTACCCAAACTTTAATTGTTGCACATTTGCATGGACCTTGGAATATTAAAGGTTGTAAGAAGAATGTTTTGTTGTTTGGTATGATAAGTGTTGGGGTAACTTGACTCCCACACACATCTTGCCATGCTTTTATAAAAGCCTAGTGTCAAATAATTTAAAACATATTTAAATCTTCTTTATACTACAACAATAATATCATGAAGACAATATATAAAAATAATAAAAATATACTTCTGAATCATCAGTATAGCCATCCCCAATAGCACCATATTTAGTATTAGTAACATCAAAAGCAATCCATTCATCATCAGCTTTAGGTGTTATTCTAGCACATAAACTATGTGAAGCAATAACAAGTATTAGAAAAACAAATAATAAACCCTTCATATTATAAGAATACACTAATATAATAATATATACGATAATATTGTTGCGATGTGAAAAATGGAGAAAGAATTATTACAATATATAGAGATGTGGATGTAGCATCAAATAGAACAAAAGTGTGGTTTACACAATTTTAACGTCATATATAGAAAAAAAACACATTTAAACTTTTAGGTAATTGAACAAAATAACTAAGGTTTTTAGATAAAATTGATGAATTATACATATTTTTTTACAAATGAATCAATATTCTTAGCTAGGCAAAATAAAAATCAGATTATGTTGAGAAGGAATTGAAAAATAGACAGCGGATCTCAATAATTAGTATTATATAATAAAGATTTCCTTTATAAACTATTATTAAATATGATGCATAGAATCTTATTCATATTTTGTTTGACAATATTGATCAAATTGTTAACTTATATCGAATATAACTAATTTAGTTATTTGGCAATTTAGATTCTCTTAGCTTATAACTTTTTTTTTAGTAACTTTGCATTCTTTTTATTCAAATGCCATAAAATTGATGAATTACATTTGGTAAAAATGAATAATATTTGGTCAAAAATATTTAATTTAATTATAAATAAAGCATATGACCCTAATGAGTATTGTTTTACAGCATCCTTACTATATGGTAATTAATTTAAAGCTTAAATGGTACTCGATATGATGTTGTTGACTTGATTTTGAGAATATTTTATATAAAAGTTTGAGTTTGAATTTATCACTAAATGCATTTTACTGGGTTCCAAACAGACACGGGTCCAAAGATATTAAAGTCCAATCATTAATTCATGAAAGTGTGCGTCAAAGTATGGATAACTTAAAATATTCGTTAGTAAGATAAAATAGAATAGTTTAAGTGAGACACCAAATCACACAGGAATCATGACCCTAACCGCCCAAATCACACGGAATTAAAATTTGTTCAAATAGTTATTTTTTTTTAAAAAAAATATGAATATAATTTTAGTATTTTTAACAATTTTAGTAAATTTTCTCAAAAGGAATCCAATTTAAAGTTGTATTTATTTAAAGTCCAAATTTCAAAATAAAAAAAACAAACTAATGATAATTTTTATTTTTATTTTCTTTTACCATAATGACTTATGTTTTTTTAAAAATCATTTAAATATTTATAATAAAAATCAATATAATTTTCTAATTTATTCTTCACACATTTATCATTCTAAAACCCTTGCAAAATTAGCTAGAGGATAGGACACTCACAAAATAGCATCCTATTGAACTGCAAGAGCAAACTAGTGGCACAGTCATGTCACTATTTTGATAGAAGATAAGACCCTAACAAATGCGTCTATATTTTGTTTTTTGTTAGGGGGAAAACTCTTAGCGCGTGTGTCGACATTTGCTTTGAGCTAACCTGCTAGCAAACGCAATAATGTTTTGAAATTTGTGACGTGATTAATCTCACGCAAATTGGTAATTAGTTGTGTGAGGATTAACCCATACCTAATATATATAATATCATATAAAAATTATTATAACTAGCGTCCAGATGGGCACTCGCGTGCCCGTCTTTCCGCTTTTTTTTATTGCGCTAACGCGTGAAAATTTTAACTAACTTATTTTTTTATAAGTTTAATTTTAATATTAGAGCCAATCCACTAAAGAAAGGGCGAATTCCCCTGCAGAGTCTTTCTAGAGAAAGCAAACTGCTTCGCTTGCCTGAACGATTCACTTCTCCTTTATAGTTCAGAATTCATAGATATATATATTTATCAATTACCTACAAATAAGATAGGCAGTATGTCTATTTTGGTTTAAAGATAATAACTCATTTTCATTGGTATTACTAATTGAAAACTACATTTTTGGTTACTCAACACCATTTTTTTGTTAACATACAATTATAATAATGGATGTATGCGAAAGAATAAAAATGAAATGATGAAAGGATAGTCAAATTTAAAGTCACACACCCTCTTAGTTTTTGTTTACATTTTCTTTCTCTTATACTAATAACTTCTCTCATACATCACACATACCTTTTTTTTGTTTTGTATTTATTTTTCAAAAATATGATCTTCTATATTCATAGAGATTCATTTCCACATTAAAAAAATCTTTTATATAACCACTAATCAATTCACTATGCTACACTTTCTTCACCTATTAAAAATTAAATGGAAAAGCAAGAGAACCATCCATTTCAATTTGGGTTGGAATTGTAAATTGAAATAGCAACCGTCAAAAATTAATGATATTTAGAAAAGTTAATGATGATTAATGAATTAAGCATCCTACATGGATGATCCGATGACATTAATATTCCATTCATTTAAATTAATAGGCAAATTTAAATTTAGATTCCTTTGAATTTTAATGAAAATCTCTCCTAATAAATAATTAATAGGAAAATTTATTTCTTTCTCTTTATTGTTCTTAAAACATATAATAGGCAAAAAAAATTATGCTATTTGAAATAGTTATCTTTGAAATTCAAAATTACCTCTTTTGAGGATGAAATGCTAGTGTAATAAGACCCGAAATATAAGCATGAATTAATTTCAATCTTGATGTTGCTCTCGAATACAAAAACAACACAGAAACAAGCATTGGAACTTCCATAGGACTTCTAATACAAACAATGACAAAGAAGTAAATTATTAACCACTCACAAACTATAAATTATGAAGAATCATTGGATGAAACATTAAATGAACATGTTTTTTTACTCTATAAATTTGTAGTTATGTTATGCATCCCACCTTGGGAGGTTTATATATAAAAATAAAAATAAAAAACCAACTCTAGGAGTTATGGAGTTACCACAATTCAAAATAACTTCCTTCATTTAATAAAAACTTCATTTTTTTATTTGTATTTTTGTTTTTAAAATTAACTAAAATTAAATTTTAAAGGATAAAATAGAAATAAAAATAGGTCAGTCTAAAATTCCAATTCCCTAGATAAATTATTTAATTTTAATTTAATTATAAACTATTTATAAAATAATTAAAGATAATGATATGAAAAATAATAAACTGTTGGCGGTTAATAAACCTTTGTGTAACCGCCATTGAGAGGAAAAAAAATAAAAATTTAAAATAAAAATTGAAAAGGGTAAATTTGGAAAGAAAAAAAGCTACACCAAAACAATCTATTGCCTTTATATATTGTTATAGATTATAATACAATTATAATAAATTTGTATTTTTTTAAAATTTTGTAAAATAAAATTAAAAATTAATATATATATATATATATATATATATATATATATATATATATATATATATATATATATATATATATATATATATATATATATATATATATATATATATATATATATATATATATATATATATATATATATATATATATATATATATATATATATATATATATATATATATATATATATATATATATATATATATATATATATATATATATATATATATATATATATATATATATATATATATATATATATATATATATATATATATATATATATATATAATTAATTAATTAGTTAACCTGTTACCATGACCAGGTCCACAAAAGCACCCGTTATGTTGATTAATGAGGAGTTAGTGTTAATGGCAACACAATCGCCACCTGAAAAATATTGGAAATAATCTTAAAAATTAAGATGAAAATCAAACAAAATTAATCTATTATCATTTTTAACTCTTTGATCAACCTAACAAAGGTAACAAAATAACACTCAAGAAATCTAAGTGAAGTTATGTATTATAATGACCAGCTGTGATTGTTAAATCCTTAATGATGACATTAGACGATTCTGCAATATCAATTCCCTCGGTGTTAGGACTATCTTCTTGTGCAATCATTTTAAGATTGGAGATAGAAATAATGTTGCATGAACATATACCCATATAATTGTTTGACCCACATCTCCGTGCTGACCAAAGAATTGTGATTCATTGCTCTACACCGACCAAAGGTCAAATAGCACGGGGATCATTATCTTTTCTTCTCCTCTAGGCCCAAGGTATCAAGACCCTCGTAAGGGGTTCTAAGGTACACAATCTTTAATTTTCACTTTCGCGTCCACTATCTTAAATCCTAAATTGACTTGGGCGTTGGAATGCAAACAACGCAAGTTCCTACCACTGAGTCCACCATATTGGAAATAGCATCACCAATTAATTGCACTGTATCAAGATCAATGTTTCTTGTTCAAGAAGCACCGTGATCGAAACCTTCGATCCATGGTGTTGTATCAGCATAGTGCATTGAAATCTCTGATTCATCATAGTTTCTGCAATCATCACCATTTATGATTTTGCAATGGAACACCAATGATATTTATTATGTAAACAAGAATAAAAATTTGAATCTGAACAAGAGATATACTCTAAGAAAAAAACTAAAATAATAATGAAATGGTAGTGAGTAATGTTTTTTTTAGATAAAATAATGATGCATATTTTATGGGTTGGTGTTTGAAGACCTTTGGATAAGGAACAACATTGTGTTTATGTGTTTTTTCATACTTGTTTTTAGTTTTCAAGAAGAAAAAGAAAAAGAAGGAATGCTTGTGTTCATATGGGTTAAATGAGTTTCAGATGCGTGAAGTTTTGTGTTTATAGTGCTTTTAAATTTATAATGTCTTTTTAATAAAATAATACAAATATATAAAATAAATATATTTAAAAATTTATACTTTTTTTATTTATTTTAAAAACCACTGTTATATGAGTGTGATATTGTGTCAAATCTCAAGTAGTGTGTTAAACAATTAAGATATTATGTCAAACATACTTATTAATATATATTTTTTAATATTTAAATTAATATTCCAAAAAATATTAAATATGATTTAAATAGTAAGAAATGTAAATTAGATAGTATAGGTTCAAAGTCCTAATGATTTAGTTGTCAAGAAATTGAAAGTAAAGTCATGGGTTTGAATCCAATTTTTTGTAAAATTCTGATTTAAATGCGTTGGTCATTAATTTAATAAAAGTTTACAGAAACAAATATTATAATAATTATTTCTAAAAATCAAGTCTTCCATTCTTCTTTGTTTCTTAAACAAATAATAATCTTGATGCAATATATCAATAGTAACAAAGATAGCTACAAGAAAAACCAATTGAATATTATTAATTTTAAATAAGAAAAGTGCTACATAGTGCAAGATAAAAATAAACTAACATTGTTATTTTGAGAAATAAATAAGACATTAATTAGTATAGTGACGTATGTGATTTTTCATTATCAATACGAGTAATGTTAATATTATCAAGTTCAATGTTGATGCAACTAATATTAGGCTTGCATTTTAGTTGGATTGGATCTTCGGTCGATGTTCCACGTAGATTGCGAAAAACAACATCAGTCACTGCCACACCTTTTCCATCGTCATCATCATATATTTTAGGATTGTAACTCTGGTCAATAATTATAGGATTCTTGACTTCGTTAAATTCAATATCTCCGTATGTGATCTTCCTAGCATATCCATTTCCTCACTAATTGAAAAATAAAATCATAAAATATTTTTAATTCAAGCCTAACTCAACTCTATAAAATGAATTTATAAAATAAAAAATATATGACATAAACTTTTTTCAGATTGCATAACATGATATGAGATTATCAATAATATTATTACGATACTGTTACTATACTAATCCATTTGTTCGGCTAGATTCAATCTATACTTACCTCCCATGTCTTGATTCTAGCTCCATTTGAAGTTCTCGTAAAAGTGCAGTTGTTAACATATATATCTTCTACTTTAGCATATTCTCCATTTTTTCCGAGGCTACCAACACTGAAATCACCAATCCCATATAATTTTAATATTAATCAAATTAATATATATATATATATATATATATATATATATATATATATATATATATATATATATATATATATATATATATATATATATAAAGAAAATTAATTAACTTTGAATTAACCTGATGCCATGACCAGGTCCACAAAAAACACCAGTTATATTGATGAAGAAGGAGTCAGTGTTAATGGCAACATAATAATCACCTGGACAATATTAGACAAAAATTATTTTAAAAAAATCAAGATGAAAATCAAACATAATTAATCTAATATAATTTTGTAACTCTTTGTTCAACCTAACAAAGGTAACAAAAGAACACTAAAAAAATCTAAGTGAAGTTATGTATTGTAATGACCAGTTGTAATTGTTGAATCCTTAATGATGACATTGGACGGACTTGCTATATTAATTCCATCGGTATTAGGGCTATCGTCTGGTGCAATCATTTTAAGATCAGAGATATAAACATCTTTGCATGAAGCTATACCCATATGATTTTTTGGACTATCGTAGTGAGTCAAATTACTAACTGTAATTTTTTCGCACCCAATAAACTTAATAGCCTGCATAAGAATATTATAAAGTAATTAAATGCTTAAATACTCCAAAGTAGTTAAATTAATTTAGACAAACTTAAGTACTAGTTATCATATGAATAGACTTACAGAAGGCCTTTTACTTTCATTATCAGGATACTCTTTCCACCATGGAGCACCTTGGCCATTAATTTGTCCTCCACCATTGACAGTAAGACCAGAGATGTATTCAAATCGAATCCATGCTAGCTCTTTATCTTCTGCCCATTTCCAATCCTCCATGTTTTTTGGGGTAATGATAGTTCCTCCAAGCTATCGACCAAAAAGTACACATTCAGCATTTTATATATCAAACATATTAAGGTTAGAATTGAAAAATATTTAAACTAAAGAAGGAGTACCAAAACTTTAATTGTTGCACATTTGCATGGACCTTGGAATATTAAAGGTTGTAAGAAGAATGTTTTGTTGTTTGGTATGATAAGTGTTGGGGTAACTTGACTCCCACACACATCTTGTCATGCTTTTATAAAAGCCTAGTGTCAAATAATTTAAAACATATTTAAATCTTCTTTATACTACAACAATAATATCATGAAGACAATATATAAAAATAATAAAAATATACTTCTGAATCATCAGTATAGCCATCCCCAATAGCACCATATTTAGTATTAGTAACATCAAAAGTAATCCATTCATCATCAGCTTTAGGTGTTATTCTAGCATATAAACTATGTGAAGCAATAACAAGTATTAGAAAAACAAATAATAAACCCTTCATATTATAAGAATACACTAATATAATAATATATACGATAATATTGTTGCGATGTGAAAAATGGAGAAAGAATTATTACAATATATAGAGATGTGGATGCAGCATTAAATAGAACAAAAGTGTGGCTTACACAATTTTAACGTTATATATAGAAAAAAAAATCACATTTAAACTTTTAGGTAATTGAACAAAATAACTAAGGTTTTTAGATAAAATTGATGAATTATACATATCTTTTTACAAATGAATCAATATTCTTAGCTAGGCAAAATAAAAATCAGATTATGTTGAGAAGGAATTGAAAAATAGACAGCGGATCTCAATAATTAGTATTATATAATAAAGATTTCCTTTATAAACTATTATTAAATATGATGCATAGAATCTTATTCATATTTTGTTTGAGAATATTGATCAAATTGTTAACTTATATCGAATATAACTAATTTAGTTATTTGGCAATTTAGATTCTCTTAGCTTATAACTTTTTTTTTAGTAACTCTGCATTCTTTTTATTCAAATGCCATAAAATTGATGAATTACATTCGGTAAAAATGAATAATATTTGGTCAAAAATATTTAATTTAATTATAAATAAAGCATATGACCCTAATGAGTATTGTTTTACAGCATCCTTACTATATGGTAATTAATTTAAAGCTTAAATGGTACTCGATATGATGTTGTTGACTTGATTTTGAGAATATTTTATATAAAAGTTTGAGTTTGAATTTATCACTAAATGCATTTTACTGGGTTCCAAACAGACACGGCTCCAAAGATATTAAAGTTCAATCATTAATTCTTGAAAGTGTGCGTCAAAGTATCGATAACTTAAAATATTCGTTAGTAAGATAAAATAGAATAGTTTAAGTGAGACACCAAATCACACAGGAATCATGACCCTAACCGCCCAAATCACACGGAATTAAAATTTGTTCAAATAGTTAATTTTTATAAAAAAAATATGAATATAATTTTGGTATTTTTAACAATTTTAGTAAATTTTCTCAAAAGGAATCCAATTTAAAGTTGTATTTATTTAAAGTCCAAATTTCAAAATAAAAAAAAAAACTAATGATAATTTTTATTTTTATTTTATTTTACCATAATGACTTATTTTTTTCAAAAAATCATTTAAATATTTATAATAAAAATCAATATAATTTTTTAATTTATTCTTCACACATTTATCATTCTAAAACCCTTGCAAAATTAGCTAGAGGATAGGACACTCACAAAATAGCATCCTATTGAACTGCAAGAGCAAACTAGTGGCACAGTCATGTCACTATTTTGATAGAGGATAAACCCTTAACAAATGCGTCTATATTTTGTTTTTTGTTAGGGGGAAAACTCTTAGCACGTGTGTCGACATTTTCTTTGAGCTAACCTGCTAGCAAACACAATAATGTTTTGAAATTTGTGACGTGATTAATCTCATGCAAATTGGTAATTAGTTGTGTGAGGATTAACCCATACCTAATATTTATAATATCATATAAAAATTATTATAACTAGCGTCCAGATGGGCACTCGCGTGCCCTTCTGTCCGCTTTTTTTTATTGCGCTAACGCGTGAAAATATTAACTAACTTATTTTTTTATAAGTTTAATTTTAATATTAGAGCCAATCCACTAAAGAAAGGGCGAATTCCCCTGCAGAGTCTTTCTAGAGAAAGCAAACTGCTTCGCTTGCCTGAACGATTCACTTCTCCTTTATAGTTCAGAATTCATAGATATATATATATTTATCAATTACCTACAAATAAGATAGGAAGTATGTCTATTTTGATTTAAAGATAATAACTCATTTTCATTAGTATTACCAATTGAAAACTACATTTTTGTTTACTCAACACCATTTTTTTGTTAACATACAATTATAATAATGGATGTATGCGAAAGAATAAAAATGAAATGATGAAAGGATAGTCAAATTTAAAGTCACACACCCTCTTAGTTTTTGTTTCCATTTTCTTTCTCTTACACTAATAACTTCTCTCATACATCACGCATACCTTTTTTCTGTTTTGTATTTATTTTTCAAAAATATGATCTTCTATATTCATAGAGATTCATTTCCACATTAAAAAAATCTTTTATATAACCACTAATCAATTCACTATGCTACACTTTCTTCACCTATTAAAAATTAAATGGAAAAGCAAGAGAACCATCCATTTCAATTTGGGTTGGAATTGTAAATTGAAATAGCAACCGTGAAAAATTAATGATATTTAGAAAAATTAATGATGATTAATGAATTAAGCATCCTACATGGATGATCCGATGACATTAATATTCCATTCATTTAAATTAATAGGCAAATTTAAATTTAGATTCCTTTGAGTTTTAATGAAAATCTCTCCTAATAAATAATTAATAGGAAAATTTATTTCTTTCTCTTTATTGTTCTTAAAACATATAATAGGCAAAAAAAAACTATGCTATTTGAAATAGTTATCTTTGAAATTCAAAATTACCTCTTTTGAGGATGAAATGCTAGTGTAATAAGACCCGAAATATAAGCATGAATTAATTTCAATCTTGATGTTGCTCTCGAATACAAAAACAACACATAAACAAACATTGGAACTTCGATAGGACTTCTAATACAAACAATGACAAAGAAGTAAATTATTATCCACTCACAAACTATAAATTATGAAGAATCATTGGATGAAACATTAAATGAACATGTTCTTTTACTCTATAAATTTGTAATTATGTTATGCATCCCACCTTGGGAGGTTTATATATAAAAATAAAAATAAAAAACCAACTCTAGGAGTTATGGAGTTACCACAATTCAAAATAACTACCATCATTTAATAAAAACTTCATTTTTTTATTTGTACTTTTGTTTTTAAAATTAACTACAATTAAATTTTAAAGGATAAAATAGAAATAAAAATAGGTCAGTCTAAAATTCCAATTCCCTAGATAAATTATTTAATTTTAATTTAATTATAAACTATTTATAAAATAATTAAAGATAATGATATGAAAAATAATAAATTGTTGGCGGTTAATAAACCTTTGTGTAACCGCCGTTTTGAGGAAAAAAATAAAAATTTAAAATAAAAATTGAAAAGGGTAAATTTGGAAAGAGAAAAAGCTACACCAAAACAATCTATTGCCTTTATATATTTTTATAGATTATAATACAATTATAATAAATTTTTATTTTATTAAAATTTTGTAAAATAAAATTAGAAAATAATATATATATATATATATATATATATATATATATATATATATATATATATATATATATATATATATATATATATATATATATATATATATAATTAATTAATTAATTAGTTAACATGTTACCATGACCAGGTCCACAAAAGCACCCGTTATGTTGATTAATGAGGAGTTAGTGTTAATGGCAACACAATCGCCACCTGAAAAATATTGGAAATAATCTTAAAAATTAAGATGAAAATCAAACAAAATTAATCTATTATCATTTTTAACTCTTTGATCAACCTAACAAAGGTAACAAAATAACACTCAAGAAATCTAAGTGAAGTTATGTATTATAATGACCAGCTGTGATTGTTAAATGACATTAGACGATTCTGCAATATCAATTCCCTCGGTGTTAGGACTATCTTCTTGTGCAATCATTTTAAGATTGGAGATAGAAATAATGTTGCATGAACATATGCCCATATTATTTTTTGACCCACATCTCCGTGCTGACCAAAGAATTGTGATTCATTGCTCTACACCGACCAAAGGTCTAATAGCACGAGGATCATTATCTTTTCTTCTCCTCTAGGCCCAAGGTATAAAGACCCTCGTAAGGGGTTCTAAGGTACACAATCTTAAATTTTCACTTTCGCATCGGGCGTTGGAATGCAAACAACGCAAGTTCCTACCACTGAGTCCACCATATTGGAAATAGCATCACCAATTAATTGCACTGTATCAAGATCAATGTTTCTTGTTCAAGAAGCACCATGATCGAAACCTTCAATCCATGGTGTTGTATCAGCATAGTGCATTGAAATCTCTGATTCATCATAGTTTCTGCAATCATCACCATTTATGATTTTGCAATGGAACACCAATGATATTTATTATGTAAACAAGAATAAAACTTCGAATCCGAACAAGAGATATACTCTGAGAAAAAAACTAAAATAATAATGAAATGGTAGTGAGTAATGTTTTTTTTAGATAAAATAATGATGCATACTTTATGGGTTGGTGTTTGAAGACCTTTGGATAAGGAACAACATTGTGTTTATGTGTTTTTTCATACTTGTTTTTAGTTTTCAAGAAGAAAAAGAAAAAGAAGGAATGCTTGTGTTCATATGGGTTAAATGAGTTTCAGATGCGTGAAGTTTTGTGTTTATAGTGCTTTTAAATTTATAATGTCTTTTTAATAAAATAATACAAATATATAAAATAAATATATTTAAAAATTTATAATTTTTTTATTTATTTTAAAAACCACTGTTATATGAGTGTGATATTGT